ATTCTTCTGTCAACAAGCTGCTTTTTCCTAAATTGTTTTGTTGAAATGTTGCCAGTGACTGAGCTGCCACACCCATCACTAGGTAAAACGCCTTTTCACTTGGTTCTCTTGAAGTTATGGTAAGGAAAGTTGGTTCCTATTTAGTTGTGCTTTAAAGCATTACATAGAAGGTAGGTACTCTCCAGCGGGTATTAAGAAATGCCTGGAATTAATTATTCTTTTCAACCACAAGGTCTTGCTCTGTTGGGTAGAAACAGCAAGTTGCAAACCCGTTACTGTTAAATGTTCGCAGCAAACTGTGACAACCCAGCTTGCTGCATTTATTTATCAAGATCCTGACAGCTTGCCTCTTTCAACACCAGCAAAACACTCCCCAGAAGTCAGAGCTCAAAGGGTCCGGAAGGCTTAGCGAGAAGAGGCTTAGTTCTTGGAAACTGACAGTTTATCCATTCCGATGATGACACTGACCACTGTGTGTCCAAAAGCCTGGCTCAATTCCAAGGAACTCCAGCGCCTGGGCATGAGATCAGCCTGCCAGGGCCAGGGGTGAAAGGATTATCAGTCATTTAGGAAACAGCAGGCACCATCCTGCTCTGATCACCGCTCCAAAGGCAAGGAAGTAAGTCTGGTGAACCCACAGCTCTTACCAGCGGCACTGGAACAGAAGTGAAACTTCCCCACCGGACTGCGCTGTTACCGTAGGTAATAATCAATCACTGCCGAGAATGCCGCAAAGCCACCACAGCCAATGGCCCCTGCTTTTAAACCAGCTGCAATGCAAAAAGGGAAGGGGGAGAATTAGAAACGCCCTGCATTTCTTCCCATTTACGGGCTTATGCTGCTGGCCTTGAAGAGGTCCCAGGATTGCAGAGTCTTCCATGCAGAGAATCTTGCACTCCACTTTTAATTGGATTAGGGGACTTAAATGGATCCCAGGAATTTGGCACACGCTGCACTTGGAACCACAAGGGCTGGGCCTGCGAGCTGAACTAACTGAGCTTTGTTATGGTTTATCTGCCTCTGAAGGGCTGCAAATGAATATTGCCAGCTCCAATGCAATGGCTGTTTCAACAGTTGGCTGGATTCACTTGGCTCTGATCTCAGCACTGCAGGTGACTTATGGTGGCTAAACAGTATGATGGGGACAGAAAGGCAGCAGCTGCTTTAAGAGCTCTAAAAGGATTAGGTCCAGGCCAGACACAGTATAATAGACTTAATTAGAAGCCCTTTCTAGAGCTGTTTGCTTCCCTTAATGCTCTTTGAGGAAGGGAAAAGAAGGGAGAACGCCCACTTTGCTGAAAAGCACCACAACCCTGTGCTTCAGCACAACCACAGCTCCCCCTTCCATGCATGTTCCTACCAAAGGAGCATTTGGTGGGTTCTTGCCAAGAGCCCAGGTGATAAGCAGTGACTGGTGCTGGACTAAGTCCCATTCTGATGGCTACTAGCTAGACTCACTCTGGGTGCCAGCTGCTGGTGGTATTTCCTGTGCAATATTCGGTTTGAGTGGTTATTCTACATCTTAGCCAAGTGTAATAACACCCAAAGTTACTTGGAAAACTCTGAATAAAAATGTTTCATTTTTCCATTTGACTGATGCTTGTGTATAGTCCGTTTCACTGTATCTCTTATACAATCAGCCCTCCGGGTCTGTGTGGGTCTTTCAAACCACAGGAGAAAGTAAAACATTTTAGATGACAGCAAAATATTATATAGCCACCAATTAGCAGGGAAGCAGATGCAGCACCTAATGCTAATTTAACTCATTTTGAACCATTACAAGTTCCATGGTGATGCCCCCTTAATACTCTGTGGAAGTGTTCTGCACTTGGGATGTCTAGAACAGCTTGCAGTACATCCATGTAGCAGGCAGTCTTGGCCAGAGCTAGCACACAAACAGTTTAAAGTAAGTGCTACTAACCTCTAAAGCCAATGGCTCCTCCAGTGATGCACCCACTAATAACACTGTTCTTCCAGTCTGATTTTCCACGATACTGCGGAATGGAGAAACACAATGGAGTCACAGTAGGAAAGTGCACATGGAACTATTAGCATAGCTACTGAATGTTTGTTAGTTTTTAATAAAAACACTCCTCCACTCCCCTTGACTCACAGCTGAATATGCTTGTCCCTAACTCTCCAGCAGCGAGCAACATTGACCTTTGGTATGAGACTTCTTGGGAGAAGGGGGAGTATTCCCTAAGACACTTAGGGTACATCTACACCACAATGAAACGCCAGTGGCTGGCCTGTATCAGCTGATTCGGGCTTGCAAGGTTTGGGCTGTGGGGCTATAAAACTGCAGTGTGACATCCAGGCTGGAGCCCAGGCTCTGGAATGCTGCAGAGGGGGGGAGGGTCCCAGAGCCTAGCCTCCAACCCAAGCCCAACTGTAGCCCCGTGAGCCTGAGTCAGCTGACAAGGGCCAGCTGTGGGTGTTTTATTACCATGTAGACATACCCTTATTCTTCTACATGAGTTAATTACATGTTCCAATTAAAATAAAGAAACTTGTTGCCTTATTCCTAAGGAAATATGAAAGTCAAACATTTTAGCATTGAGCTACGCAAGGTCACTTTGCTCTCTAGCTACAAAATGAGATCCAGGACACGATCCAAAATAACCTCCTTTTTGCTTCTAAAATTTTACAGGCACAAATAATTATGGGTAACTGATACTGAGATTTTTTTTATTTTTTAAAAAGGGTGGCTAGTCTTTAAAATATAGTCCCCAAAATGACCCATGTATTTATCCAGCTCTGGAACTGGAATGATCTTTATTACCAAGTGTGCCCTAACAGGGTTGCAATGACCCTCCCTTTTTGCCTCTGTGGTGAAATGATGAAGAGGATGGTTCTGTACTTTTTTCTGTTATAACAAGGAATCAGAGTCTGGAAAACCCTGAAAACCAACAGGCTAGGTGTGCTTCATTTTCCTCCTCAAGCTTTTTTCCATCACTCAAGGTCGCTTTAGTGTAGCTCAAGAGCAAGGTAGTTAGGAATGCACACATGTCAAGGGTTTCTAAAGAATGAAAGCATTTCTGATGGCTACTTACAGACTCTACTAGGCATTCAGTACAGGAGAACATAGCACCCACAATGGCAAAGTTTTTGGCATAGGACATCCCGCGTTGCCCCATATCTTTAAGGACTTCTTTTGCAGTTGGTGTACGATAGGGATCCTTGGGATCAAACCCTACGTTGGTATCAATGCCTGCTGTGAATACACCAAATGCTCCTCCCAAAACAAAACCTAAAGAAGACAAAAAAACCCAGTGAGAACAGAATATTTCCCCATTGATTGCAGCAATGCAGCACTGTCATCACAACAAACGTCCCAGCATCCTGGTACCTTACAGCTTGTAAAAGAAGTTTGTGGTCAGGAGAGTGGATTCTCTCCCCCCCCCCCCTTCACATTAACAACACAGCATATCTCCAAGCACCCCAGGCAGCCCTTCTGTTACCCCCCCCCCCCCGGGGCCAGTAATGGAGAGTCATGTGTACAAAGCGGGAAACTGAGGCTCAGGGAGGGAGAAGTAACTGACCCGAATATAAAAACAGTCATACTGGGTCAGGCCAATGGTGCAGCTAGCCCACTATTCTGTCTTCTGACAGCCAGTGCTAGATCCTTCAGAGGAAATGAACAGAACAGGGCAATTACAGAGTGATCCAGTCCCTGCTTCTAGCACTCAGAGGTTTAGGGACCGAGAGCATGGGGGTTGTGATCCTGATCTTCTTGGCTAATAGCCATTGACGGACCTGTCCTCCATGAATTTATCTAGTTCTTTTTTGAACCCAGTTATAGTTTTGGCCTTCATAACATCCTCTGGCAACGAGTTTGGCAGGGTGACTGAGCCTTGTGCAACGAGGTATTTCTTTAGGTTTGTTTCAAATGAGCCGCCTGTTCCGTTCATTGGGTGACACACCCCCGGCCCCAGTTCTTGTGTTACGTGAATGGGCAAATAACCCTTCCCTATCCAGGCTCCCCGCGCCACTGGTGATTTTATAACCCTCCACCACCCCCCGTCTCTTGTCTAAGATGAGCCATGAGGCCTCTGCTTCCAGCACCCCAGCCCGGGTCAGGACAGGGGGCTCCTGCGATCCTGCCACGGGGCCGGCAGCCAATCCGGGGGAGGCCAAGCTGCCCCGGGGGCCAGGCAGCTCGAGAGGCGGGAAGGGGAGATGGGCGCCAGCTGCCAGCCCGCCCCCATCCCGGGCGCGCCCCCGCCCCCATCCCGGGCCGGGCGCGCCCCCGCGCCGCACCTCCCACGCAGGCCAGCGCCGCCTTGAACCCGCAGCTCTCCATGACCCGCTCGATCAGCTTCTGCTCGTCGCTCTTGGGCGGGGCCGGGATGCCCCCCAGCGCGGCGGGGTCCAGGGCCCGGGCCTGGCGCGGCCCCCGCCGTTCCCCCACCAGGTGCTCCAGCAGGAGGCTGTACTGCAGCTGGACCGGCCCGGCCGGGTCAGGCCCGGGGCCGGCGGGAGTGTTTCCCCCCGGGGAGGAGGCCGTCGCCATGACAGGCCGGGTAAACTCAGTCGCTGCCTCCCCGGCCGTAGATTCCACACGCGGAGTTGGAGGGGATGCTTCTGCCCCGGCCGCCTGTGGTTCCGCAGCAGCCGATTCGACACAGTGTAACGACTCGCGGGCGGGCTGCGACACCCTCGTCCCTGCAGACTACAACTCCCAGCATGCCCGTCACCCAGGGGCTCAGGCGCGCCGAGATTCACAGGCCTTGTAGCCCGTCTCTAACCGCTGTGCGCCTGTACATCCCAGCGTGCCTTGCGGCAGCCCCCATAAAAAGACTATGACTCCCAGCACGCTCCGCCACTTCAGGCCTAGCCTCTCTGCCAGGTTCCACTGCGCTCAGGATCATGGGATTTGTAGTCCGGAGGGTCTGAGAGAGCGAACCACATTTCCCAGGGTGCCCCGCGGCGCTAGCCCCCTGGCGGCCGTTAGGACCGTTGCAGAAGAGAGGAAAGGTGCTTGCTGCCAGAGCATCCTTGAGAGGAGGCAGCAGGTGAGTGGGACTGGGGCGGGCTGTCCCTTGGGGCCTCTCCCAGGGCAGGGCCGGGGGAGTGGCGGATAGAGGGGCCGTTCTGACAGGAGGCTGGGGCCTCGGCCATGGCTCAAGGGCTGCGGGAGGGGCCCTGGTGACTGCCCTGCAATGTGGGGGGGGGGGACCCTGGGCCCTAATGCAGAGGGGCATCCCCATGAAGGCAACAAGTGCCAGTGGTTAGTCAGAGGGCAGCCAAAGTGCCAGGTGTCCTCTCCCCCTCTGGAGCCCTGCAGCCACCCTCAGGCCCAATGCAGACGAGTGGCCTTGGGGAAGCCCTGGGTCCCGGTGTGCAAGGGGGCCCCCTCTGTCTGCTGTCCCGTGGGTGGCTGTCACTGACACCGCGTGGTGGCCTTGCCCAGGTGCCTGATCCCAGAGAGAGAGGCTCCACTGCCATTTATGGGTACCTGCACAGTAGGGTTGGTCAAATGTCACCCACAGAGTCCTACGATGCACCCCCCCTGACTTTCTCTTGTCTTCTGGTTGATAGGTCCCAGCATCTGAGGTGGCTGCTTGGGCTAAGACAAGGGCCGCTCTACTCCACTTCATTTTACGTACATTAGGCAGAGAAACACCAGGTGGACCGATATTGTCTATGCAGCCCCTCAGCTGAGCAAAGTTTGGATGCCCCTGGCATAACATAGCACTCAGGCTTGGGGGTTTGTACAGATCAAACACTGAGAGTTTATACATCTGTCTTGCAGTCACACAATGCAATCCTGATTAGTGTCAGATCAGGTAGGGATCTTAACTCTTACACTACTGTTTATTCTGTTTGGCAGTAGCATAGAAACTTCCCACCCTGATAAGCTTAGCGCCTTAAAAGGGAGGCTGTCAGCTAAAATAAATACTTCATCCATATATGCTATTTGTTCATGCTTCATTTTTCTCAGTAGTGGCATGGCATAGCTGGGCCAGTTTCATTTTTTGATTCCCATGCACTAGCACAAGTCTGTTGCTAAGCTTGCTGCAGGGAAGGGAAGGATGGGTTTAAAACCAAACCAAATGTTTTTGTTGAAGTTCTATGGAAATTTTTTACTGTTAATATATTATTTTAAAAATCTGCAGTTTTTGGCCTAACCCTCAAGGAATAACTGTTATGGTGAGAATGGGATGCTTTGAGGCACTGAATTTCAATAATTTAAAATGTGAGAAAACATTGTAATGGTTATTTTAAAAAGAATTTATGAACTAAAAGTGACTCATTTCCATGTATCCCTCTGAAAATCAGACCCATGTTCTGAACTGAGTCAGGTGCATTAGGTGTTCTGTAGTATATTATCCTGGTTTTCCTTTTCTCTTTTACCTCAGCATTGATACTTGTTTACAATGAGACACACATGCAGATGTGGATAATTCTGTGCAAATATATTTAACACTGTACAATGGTTTATTTTCCCCTTCAAATATACGAAGTTGAGCGCAACATCTTGACTTGTGCATTGAGCTCCACTGCCCTCTACTGGCTTCTCAATGCTATTCCCTCCGTAACTGAATGCAGTAGGTCAGGGGTGGGCAAACTTTTTAGCCCGAGGGCCACATCAGGGTTCCAAAACTGTCTGGAGGGCGGGGTAGGGAAGGCTGTGCCTCCCCAAACAGCCTGGCCCCTGCCCCCTATCTGACCCGTCCCACTTCCTGTCCCCTGACTGCCAGATCTGTGATTTGGGATTGGAAGGGCATGCAATTTATTCTTCCCATTTCTGGTGTGGTTAGATGGCATCCAGGGTAATGGGGACAGGCTCTATTTATTGCCAGAACTTACATGATGATAGAGAGATTGTGTGGGTAAACATCAGAAGACTTTCTTCTCATTATGAATGTCGTCCCCCTTTCCCAGTATCTTGCATAAATGGGTTTATATTCTGCATGTGAACTAAGACATTGATCTTGCAAACATTTAAGCCTGTGCTTTTCTCTAAGTATGCAAGTCATCCCATTGACTTTCATGGACTATTCATATGAGTACATTTAAGTGTTTGCAGGATAGGGGCCTAGATAGCAAGAATTGTCAGTCACACTATGTGGGACAAGTAGAAACCTGCAGTGAACAAGCTGCTCACTCCAAACTTCAAATTCTCTCTCTCAAAAATACTCACTGGATGCTTGCAAATTAGTGCTGTTTGATCCCCTTCAGCACAAGCCTATCATCTGAATAACTTGCCTGAAATTACACTGCTGACTAGGGTGACCAGATAGAATGTGTGAAAAATCAGGACGGGATTGAGGGGTAATAGGCATCTTTATAAGAAAAAGCCCCAAATATCAGGATTGTCCCTATAAAATAGGAACATCTGGTCACCCTACTGCTGACTTGGAGTTGCTAAGCCCTCAATATTCAACCTCTTCCAAGAAATGTCAGTTCTGTCGAGAGATTACATTTTTTTTAACTTATGTAGCCCTGACTGGAACTCTTTCAAACATTCTTTTGTCTCTTTACCCTGTAATTAAAATGAAATGTGTTAAGCATGAAAGGTCAATAGCTATTATGTTTTTATAAAACATATGCTCAGTGACTGTTCTATACATTTAGGATCTGTTTAGTTTCACTAGAGGGTAGCACTTAGGAGTTTTTAGGAGAGAATTGGTCAGAGTCACTGAACCTTTGATTGGAGAATATGGAGATGTAGGTCAGTGCCTGAAGGACAGAGCATTTAAACTATCTTTATTATAATCTTGTCTGAAATTTTGATTCTGAAGTATACCTTTCATAGCTGCAGCACTCTAATAGCCAACTCTCTGCTGGAAGCAGAGTCCCTCTTCTGCATAAACTCGGGCAGTTATTTTGGGTATTGCTGCACAGAAAGTCTTCACAGCTCTCTAAACCAATCACTCAAATCCCAGAGTTCTTCCAGAAATGACTTCACTGCATGAGAAGCAGTTTAGCAATGGAGACCAAGATAAATAAATTGTTTCCCTCTCTCTGCCCCCTTCATCTCCCCTTCCCTCCCGGAAAAGCTCCAGCTTTGTAGGTCTCCTATGACTTTGTGGACAGTTAATGAGCTGCAAGTATTTCTGCATAGAGGGCTATTTTTGTAGCTACCTGTGTCATCCTGAACTGCTGCTACTTGTGCCCAAGAAGAGCAAAAATTATCCAAACAGGAATGTCTTTACATCCAACGCTGTGGTAGCTGAGTCTTAATGTAGGATATTGCCAGCCCTGAGTGTTGAAAAATCATGAGTCAGGCCTCCAAAATCATATGATTGGCTTGAAAATCATGAGGTTTAAAAATAACACATTTGGGGTTCTTTTTATCTGCCTTCTGCTGTTTGTCCTCATTGTTCATGGTTTTCAAGCTTTATCCATAACCGTGAGGCTAGACACTTTGTGTGTGTGTGTGTGTGTGTGTATTTTAATGAAAACTGAGTCTCACCTACTAACATGACTCCAGGGGCTGGGGCTTTAAGTAAAACACTGAATATCACAATACTCATGATAAAATCCCAAGAGCTGGCAACATTGAGTATAGAAGCTAGATAGCTTCTCAGCAACCAGCCTGCTTCCCCACATGTCACTCACCATGACCATGAGCGCTCTGAATGTCTGCAGAGGGCTCTGGCTGTTGCACTGATGTGGTTTAGAGCAGTGTTTCTCAATGACTGGGCCGGGGACCGGCACCGGTCCCTGAAATCTTCCTGACACAGTTTAGGAAGGCAGCAAGCCAGTCAGTCCTTGGTATCTAAAAGGTGGAGAAACACTGGTTCAGAGTATGATCCCAGCTGGGACTTCTACCCTTCTTTGGAAGCAGGAAGTGCCTTTGCAAATAAAAAACATTGTTGGTAGGTTTTAGGGCAGTTTGCAAAGCAGGTGGTGTCAAGCCAAATTCTGGTCGAGGTTGTGGCTTATTTTGCAGTTGGGAATCTGTTTTCTACTGTTGACTCGGGGCCTTTTCCACTCTTTTTTTGCTGCGTTCATAATAATAAATTGGGAGCCAGGACTCTTGGGTTCTATTCCCAATTCTTAGTCACTGACACTAAGGGACTTACTTTACCTCACTGTTCAGCCATCTATAATGTGTTGATGATGATACTTTAATTAAG